GTTATGTTATTTTTTTTGTTTTAGAAAGCTAAACAAAAAATGATTTTTTATATACTTAAAAAATTTAAGAAAATCTGGTCTGTAAGAATGGCTGACTTGCAACAAATTTAAAATATGTAACTGAGTAATAACTTCAGACATGATTTTAAGCTGAAATGCTATAAATTCAGAAATAATCCTATAAATTCAGAAATAACATTTGAACACTGCAAAGACTTTAAGATCACTGTTTACAAATTCAATGGATATCAATGAAGAATTTTTTTCTTATCTTTGTCATAACATTACAATAACTTAAAAAAAAAAAAAACTAAAGAAACCCAAAACCAAGGCATAAAAATGTCACATACTTAACTGACATTTACTATGATTTTTAAAAAACTAAAACTGCATTCAGAAGCAAGATCATAACGAAACCATTTATGAAGTAACATGCACTTTAAAAAAAACTGAGAGTCCAAAAGTAAACCATCACCGTCAAAACTCCGCTCAGCAACTTCAAATAATGAAAATATGTGTTCCTGGATAGAATTAGAATCAACTCATAGGAAACCAGGTGAGTTGATTTCACCAGTCAATGCTATTGTGTCCACATTCCTCAGGATTGTCATCCCTTTTCTATTTTCACCATCTCCAAACCCCCACAGCATTTAGTCACATAATTTTAAGTAGCACTTAATGCAATAACTTCCAAATATTCTCATTGCCATTATCCTGGATTAATCCTTCGTTACTTCTCACTTGTTCTGCTACAGCTGAACCCTAACTGCCCACCCTAACTTATCTCCCTATGTTCATCCTCATCCTTCTCCAATTCATTCTTAACACTGAACTGGAGTCATTTCTCTCAAACCCAAACCCAATTTGATAATGTTCCTTTCCAACTCAATTCCTTAAAGGGTTCTCCATCACCTAGTCCCGTCAGCTACTTCATTTTTCCTCATTACATTTAATACCATCTGCTAGGTCAGCGGTTCTCAACCTGTGGGTCTCGACCCCTTTGGGGGTCGAACGACCCTTTCACAGGGGTCGCCTAAGACCATCGGAAAACACATATTGAATATATAATTACATATTGTTTTTGTGATTAATCACTATGCTTTAATTATGTTCAATTTGTAACAATGAAAATACATCCTGCATATCAGATATTTACATTACAATTCATAACAGTAGCAAAATTACAGTTATGAAGTAGCAACGAAAATAATTTTATGGTTGGGGGTCACCACAACATGAGGAACTGTATTAAAGGGTCTCGGCATTAGGAACCACTGTGCTAGATAGTACTATATTACTTGTTTGTTCACTACCTCCACTTCAACTAGAACAGCGGTCACCAACCAGTGGTCCGTGGACCACTGGTGGTCCATGAGGTCTGAAAGGTTGGCGACTGCTGAACTAGAATATAAATCCATAAGGGCAGAGTTTTTGTTCACTGCTATATATTGCATGGTAAGCACTCAAGCATGCATGCATGAATGAGTGAATGAATGAATGATGACCTACAGGCCAGAGGCCTCATGACCTGCCAGAACCCTCTTCTTTTCACTTTACTCCCACTTCTGCCTATACTAAATTGCTGAGTTACCTAAATACAATATGCACTTTCATGCCCCTTTCTTTGCTATATGCTATTTATTCCCTTTGCCTGATACAAACTCCCCTCACCATTCAATCAACCTGCCACACTATCACCCATATTTTAAAACCATCTCCAGAAAGCTTCCCCTGACCTCCCATATAGAGTATATCACTTTCTTTCCTTTGTGTTACATCTGTACCTTTATCTACAGTGGCTCTACCCAACATGTACTGGAATGTGTATCTCCCCTGCTAGGTGGTGAATTCTTTCAGGCCAAGGCCTATTGCTTATCTCTTTACCTCCCATACCCAGGAAAATGCATGTCATAAAGCAACTACTCATAAATACTGCGTAAATTAACATATGCATAGCTATTCTGTAAGAGGAATGAAAACATGGAGTTTCAAGAAGTCACTCCTCCAATTCCATGACGATAACCAGTCAAGAGATAAAAAGAGTTACGAGCAATAACATCATCCAAGGTAATAAAAGTTACACAAAGAACATACATCACCAAACAATTCCAAAACAACTGACATACACTCACTTTATTAAATATACATGCTGGCTCCTTCTTTTGTCTTCCTTAAAAGAAAAACCTGGGTTCCACATGAACAATATATTAAATAGGTCACTCCCTGAGGAAGCTTTTTATGTGCCATTTAGTACAAGTTTTTGTGTTCCCTCATATTTGATTCAAACCTCAAAACAGCAGTATAGGACTAGATTTTACAACTAACCACACCTAATCCTAAATCAAAGACCAGATAGAGCAGTGGTTCTCAACCTTGGCTGCACATTAGAATCACCTGGGAATCTTTTGAAAATCCTGATTTCTGGGCCTCATTCCGGAGGCCAAGGTTGAGAACCACTGAGATAGAGTTCTCTACCCTTTGTAATTCATCTACGCCATCAATGGTTTACAGCTGTGCCTTCAAACCACAGTGTAGCCACACAGGGGACCCCAGACCAATCATCTTCAGCCATGGAAGCCTTATTCACTATCCCAATGTGACTTACAAGAAGACTTACTATTTTTCTCCAAATACTGTAGACCAAGGCCCTTAAATCCAACCATAGGAATACACTGACCTGCCTACTTAGTTCTAAGAGTGTGAACCTGCATGTAAATATATAATCACACAGAGTTGTATGTGAATGAATAGACATAAATGTACATAAAGCCATTTGGAAAACTTAAGTTTTAAACCCACTGATAGCTAATATAATATCAAGTGAAGCCAGAGGCCAAGATATGATTCTTGATTCCTCCATCCCCCACCATTCAGTAACCAAGTTATGGAAAACTTACCTCCTATTATTTTTTTCAAATAGTATTTCTCATTAGGATAAAAGTCTTTTACTAGTAATTGGTCTCCCTGTCTTTGGACTGAATGAAAATTGTATCTACCATTTGTTGAGGGGTTATGTAACCAGCATTGCATTAAGCACTTGATTACTGAACCCTACATTTTTCTGTTCTCACCGCAACACTGCCAAGCAGGTATTATGGTCTTCATTTTCACAGATGGGGGAACAGAAGCTCTGAGAAGTTAAGTGACTTGCTTAAGTCATGCAGCTGGAAGTGTAGTGGAAATTCAAACTCAGGTCTATGTTCCCATATCCTTAACCTTCTTCAATTCAGTCCCCAATGTTACCTTTCCAAAAGGCAAATGTAATGTTTCATCTCATAAAGTGGCGCAAACAAGACCCAGTCTCTCCAGCCCTCATCCCCTGTCATTCTCACCCCTTTCTGTCACACTTCACCCCCAGCAGTTCCCTAACCTGCCTCACTGCTTTATCGGTGAACGCACTTTTTCTGCCAAGAACACTTTTCTCCGTTGGCAGGTTAATTCCAACACAAATTTCAAGATTTACTCAGACGATCCTTATTCTGGAAAGCCTTTGCCCTAACAAATACATATCCAAAACTGGGTTAAGTGATCATTTGCTATGATTATCAGCTAGTGTCTTATCAGACTGTATTATACAACTTTATCTTACAAGGCTATTAGTTCCTTAAAAGTAAACACTGCATTTTTAAATCTCTGTATTCCTAGTACAATGGGTATGTACTAAGGAAGGACTCAATAAATGTTGAATCAATAAATTCGCCAACAGCAGTACAGCTTAAGAACTTGACCCTAAAGTTAACTTGATGTGCTTTCAAATTCTAACCTGCCACACGGCATACCTGTCAAGCCTGCCGCAGCCTTGAAAATCTTTTTAATAAAACGGTAGATAACTACACCTATCTCATTGTCTGGAGACAGGAGTAAAAGAAATAATACATTTAGCACAATATCTGGCACAATGAAAGCACGCAATCATTAGCAACATTTTTTCCCCCCACTCTCAAAGTTTATCCACGCTGACAAAGTCGCACCTCAGAAAATACCTTCCCCTCGCAGCTTTCATCAGAGCTTTAGGATTTCTCCAAAAAAGTAGGAAGTTAAGATCTTTCCGCTTCAGTAACGACCATCACTCCCTAAAATCACTATCGAGTATCTGAAGTTCATTACTTCTTACCCACCCCTGGGTGTCTTCCCCCAAAGCAGGAGACCCTGCCCCTAAGCAGAAACCAGGCAGTGCCTTCTTCCAAGAACCAGCTCCCCTGCGCCAGTGAGGGGAGCTTCACCATCTAGCACCAACTTAAACATCCTCGAAGGTTCAACATAGAGCCTCTTCTATCCATCCCAAGATCCGGGCCCCGAAAGTATTAGTTCAAGATAGAGAATGAACCCCTGGCAGGAGGAAGCCAAGGCAAGAGCCCTCTCCAAAGCTTCCCCAGTAAGACTCCTTCGGGTCTGTGACTCTCACTGCGCTCGCCCCCGCCTAGCAGCCCTGCGTCTGGTCCACTCTCTCAAAGGCGAGGTGTCAGGACTTCCCGGCACCGGATGCCTTCGCCCACCGGTTCCTGCACTTCCACATCGC